AGGGACTTTAGGGACCATCTAGTCTAACTCATCCTTGAAAAAGAGCTCCATCAGCCTGCTGTATGTCAAATGGCCATCAGGCCTTGGCTCACACACCTCCAATGGTGGGGAGCCCACAGTGTCCCAAGGGAGCCCATTTCATTGTTGTTTAGTTCGAATGGTTAGGGAGTTTCTTCTTGTGTTAAACCTAATTGTACCTCAGCAATTATACCCCCTCTCCTAGCTTGTTTCTTGGGCCAAAGGTGAGTAAAAGTAAGTCATTTTTCCCCATACAAACTTTCAAATTGTTGAAAACAGATACCCAGCCCTGCCCTTCATTCCTCCCATACTTCTCCCCCAGCTTTTGGTCAAGGTTAAGTACTAACCTCTGAGTAAGCACATTTATTAAACACTCACTCTCCTTCAAATCAAGATAGTTCCTGCCCTAAGGGAGCTTACCTACTATTAAAGTAAACAAGTACCTAGATAAGGAATTATACAAAATAAACAGAAAATAATTTGTGGAAGGGTGGAAATGAGGCTGTATTGAGAACTATGGTAATCCAGAAAGGTTTCCTGGAGGGAGCGTTATGGCTGAGCTTTGAATGAAGGTGTGAATTCTAAGAGACTGGAAGGTAGGAGGAAGAAGGGGAAAATTCCTGCTTTGATTTTTGGGGTTCCTTTCTTTGGTGTTTTTTTTTAATAGGCAATTGGGGTTAAGTGACTTGCTCAGGGTCACACAGCTAGTAAGTGCCAAGTGTTCGGTCTGAGGCAGATCTGAACTCAGGTCCTCCTGACTTCAGGGCTGGTGCTCTATCCACTGCGCCACCTAGCTGCCCCGTTTCTTTAGCCTTTAAGGAATCTGCTTAAAATCATCCCCAGTCATTTCATCTTGATGCTCTCTGGTACACCTATCAATTGAGACCCCACTAAACGTCAATTAAATCTATAAACTTGCTTGAATTAGTGAGCTCACAGGGTGGGAGTAAAGACCTTCTACTCATGCCAATTGAAACCCCTCCACTCCTTCTCACCCCGTGTAATTCCTGTTTCTCATAAGTCTTCCACAAAAAGGTTGTCACTGAGTTTTGTTTTTGCTGCTGTAGCTAAGTTGCGTCTAACTCTTCATAACTCCATTTGGGATTTTCTGGGCAAAGATATTGAAATGGTTTGCCTTCTCCTTCTCTAGTACATTTTATGGATGGTTACACTTGCCTAACTCTGCAGAGGTTAAGTGACTTTTCCCAGGGCAGTTGCGGAATGTATAATAAATAATAATAATCTGTTTTATAACGTCTTAAGGTTTGCAAAGTGCTTTACATATTTTCTCTCTTTCGGTGCTCATAACCACCCGATGAGGCAGGTGCTATTATTATTTCTGATTTGCAGATGAGGAAACTGTGGCAGAGGTTAAATGACTTGCCTAGAGTCGGCACTAATTAAGAGTCTGAGGCAGGATTTGAACTCAGATCTTCCTGATTCTGGAGTCAGCTCTTGCTGCACTACGTGGCATTGCCCTTTATTCTAATAGTAATAATAAGCATTTTTATTAGTACAGTTCTTATGTGTTACAAATTCTGAATTTTGAAAAGGCAGAAGATCATAGAACTCAGAGCTTGCAGACAACCTTATAAATCACCTGGCACACACCTAATACAACTGGGAAGTCACTTCGCTCTTCCTCTTCCACACTGATAAAGTGGGGGGGGCTTATGTTGCATGATCTCAAAGGTCTCCCCCAGCCCTTAATTTGTGGTGCTATGATCCTGTCTCTGTTTCAGTGTGTGTCTCTTTCTGTCAACCTCTTGTCTCTCTATCAGTCTATATTACACACACACACACACACACACACACACACACATACACACACACACACACTCACCCTTCAGTTTGCCAACAGATTTCAGGGAAATTTCTGATAGGATATCTACCCCATCCCAGCTTTGTCCTGGGTTGACATTATTTTATGATCTGTTTTTTCTGAGCCAAAGAAAGAAAAAATTCTCAATTCAACCACCAGGTGGCGATGTTCAGAAAGATGTCATTCTCATTTAGAGAAAGCCAACTGTCAGTCACTTAGTTATCACATCTCTTGCCTTACTGTTTAATGGCTTGGGAGTGTTCCTTCCCCTGCCTCTGTCTCCCCCCACCCCCCAACATCAGTTGATTTATTTCTTCTTGAAAATCACAGCTGGCATTCATGATAGGTAGCGTGTGGTAGAAAATGCTATTGACTTAGAATTATAAGAGACCTGGATGAAATCCCACCTTTGTCTTTTACTGAGCTGCATGGTCCCGGAACAAATCACTTCAGCCTCAGTTTCCTCAACTATTAAATAGGAATAATAAATAGAGTTGTTAGAAAGATCAAATGAGAGTAATCCACAAGCATGTATTAAGTACCTAAACTTGTGTTAAGTGCTGGGGATACAAAGAAAGGTGAAAACATGATTCTGACTCTTAAGGAGCTCCCTTTTAATGGACAAGACAGCATTCAAAACAACCAGGAACATAGAAAATAACTGGGAGGGCACTAGCAATGGGATGGGGGTCACCATCATGAGAAAGCTTTACAAGTATTTTGCAAATCACTAAAGCTATCACTAAATGTCAGCAAATGGTTCTGTGGAAGAGAACTTTTGACTTGGAGTGAGAGGATCTGCATTCAAATCCCAAGCCTCTTATTTACTTCTTGTGTGACCTTAAGCAAGATATATAACTTCTCTGGCACTCAGTTTCTACCTTTGTAAATAACCCACAGTTTATTTAGGACATGCCTCTTTCTGTAACGGTCCCTAGATATGGGGCCATGTGGACTATGAGAAACTAACCTCTAAAGACAGCATCTAGCCCTTTTAAATTTGTAATTGTTGTTCCATCATGTCTGACTCTTCATGACCCCATTTGGGGTTTTCTTGGCAAGGGTACTGGAGTAGTTGGCCACTTTGTTCTCCAACTCATTTTACAGATGATGAAACTGAGGCAAAGAGGGTAAAGTGACTTGCCCAGGGTCACACAGCTAGTAAGTATCTGAGGCCAGATCTGAATTCACGAAAATGAGTCTTCCTGACTTCAGGCTGGATACTGTATCCCTTGTTTCACCTAGGTGTCTCCCTCTGTAATACCTTCGGTTTAGTAAGTTTATTAAATTCAATTCCTTCAATTTCAGGTTCATTTCACCTTTATAAAAATTCTATGAAAAAAATGTCTTAAATAAACAGCAACATTTATGTAGCACTTTAAGGACTGCAAAGTGCTTCACTTGTATTCTCATTTGATTTGTTCCTCACAACAACCATATGAAGTAGGTGATCTTATATCCAGTTTAAGAATGTCTAGGGTTTCTCCAAAAGGGATCAGTAGGGTTCCTTCTAGAAAGGTAGGACAGCTAGGCGGCACAGTGGATAGCATGCATGGCCTGAAGTCAGGAAGATTCATGTTCATGAGTTCAAATTTGGCTCCAGATACTTAGTATGTGACCCCGGGCAAGTCACTTAACCCTCTTTGCCTCAGTTTCTTCATCTGTAAAATGAGCTGGGGAGAGAAATGGCAAAACCACTCTAGCAACTTTGTGAAGAAAACCACAAACAGGGTCATGAAGAGTTGGACATGACTGAAATGATTCAACAGCAGCAATTATAGAAAGGTGCTCGATGTATCAAATAGACCAACTATTGGACAGCTCTTTATTTCTTCCACTCCAGATGGAATGCTTAAAATACAAAGAGTCTTAAAAAAAATCGGCAAATACTTAACACCATTTTAGTGTAATCAATCACTCCTGCTATTCCCCCCTAGGAAACTGATACTTAAAACATTTAAAAGATTGAAACTTGAAACAAGAACACTTTGTAAAACTACTTTACAGGTATTTCGCTTTCATATCAAATCTGCACAGTGTGAATAACTTACTCAAAGTCTATACCTTTAGGCATATCTTGGAATTTCTTAGTCTCTTCATCTGAAATATTCTCTTGACCATGGATGGCCTCCTCCAAGGAGTTGGTGCAGATAGGCTGATTCAGGAGAATTCATGAAGTCCTGTCACCTCTGCACTTACACTATCTGGACCACTCAGTGACAAGGAGATATGAATTTATTATAGGCCCTAATGTATTAATTTTCCCAGAGGGGACATTTAAGGCAAAATAGGAAAGGAAAGGGATGAAGTACTTATTGTGGCCTGGATTTGGAGCCCAAAGGTCTCAGTACAAATCCCAGCTATGATGCTTGGGCATGACCTTGGGTAAGTCCTTTCTCTTCTCTGAGCTTCAGCTTCCTCTTCTATAAAATGAGGGGATCGAAATAGATTATTCCTAAATTCTTTTCTAGCTTTAAAGCCTTTGAACACACACCTACTAGTGAGATTATCAGCATCAGTGGGAACATTATTTTTTGCATTATTACCCATCCTTTTCTCTCCATTCACATAGGCATCACCATATTCTAGGCTCTCATCACCTTTTGTTCAGACTATTATATTAGCCTACGAACTGCTCTTCTTGCCTCTTTAGTCTTCCTACTCAAACCTATCCTTCTACAACTGCCACATTGATGTTTCTAAAGCTTAGGTCTGACCATGTCACTTAGAATCACAGAATCTGAGAGCTGGAAGGGACCTGAGTGTCCACACAGCGCAATCCCTACCTGACAAGGAATCCTCATTATTACCTATCTGACAAATGGTTGTTCAGTCTACGCTTGAAGATGTCCAAAAAGGGTTTGCCTACTACCTCATGAGGCAGTATTCTATTTTTGGACAGCTCTTATTTTTAGAAAGTTTATTTTTCTTCCTGACATCAAGGCTAAATATTTCTTGCAATTTCTACTCTCTTACTCATGATTCTTCCTTCTAGGACCAAGCAGAGTAAATCTAATCCTTCCTCCATATGGTGGCTCCTCAAGTACAGTTATCCTTTCTGCATCATAATTTTCCCCAGTTTTCATATATTGTGGGTTGGCTAAGAAATTAAATGTAACGGTCCTCGTTACTTGAGGAGGGCTGCCTGGGTCATACTCACCTGCACCTGCAGTCTTAGGGTGTCCCCAGAAAACAAAGGAGTGGAGTCGACAGAGAGGTGCAGTTTCAAAAGGTTTATTCAGCCTTTCTCTCAAGCGGGTAATCAACTACGCAGCTACCCTACTCGCTACTGCTCCTGCTGCTACTACTCTCTTGCTGGTCCTGCCTTCAGCATTTTATATCTTTTACTTGGGAACATACCCCAATTTAACAGTGAACAAAACAACAAGGTTTACATATCTTTACCAATAGGCAACACCGGGCATCTTTCCCATGAGAATAACAATCAAAGTATCCACAAGTACATTTCTTTGCAACATTATCCTGACTGTGTCCTTCTCCAGTGCTGTTCCCATAAAACACCATGTACTTTTCGTTCCCGGAATGTTCCCAATACTTGATACATGAACTAGCAATACTTGATACCTAAGTTAGCAATACTGGACACCTCTTTGTGCTAGACCTGACTGTGCTTGAGCCAGCAACATTGTGTTATACTTTGAGCTTGCCTAGTATCAGAGTTCTGCTGATTGGGGGTGCAAGGTCCGTGGAGGGAGAACCGAGCCAGGATATTCTGCGCATGTACTAATACCCGAGAGGGGCCTTCACCCAACAGTGGAGTCTCATGAACAGCCTGTGGTCCTCAACGTCCTACCAGTCCCCACAATTAAATGAGAATTTTGGGGGAGTTTTGTAGAAGCCACAGACAATGAAAGCTAGCAGACCACACAGAGCCTATGACCAAATACTTAAACCAAGTTTTACAATAAAGTACTGTAAACACCCCATAAAAGAAAAAAAAAATCAGATTTCTTTTCTCACATGAAAGGAGGGCCAAAAATTTTTACTCCTATTTCCCAGATCATGGGAGTTCCAACTATGCTATCTATGCATACCATCTATGGCTTTATCCAAGTCATTAATAAAAGTGTTAAACAGCCCCGGACGAAATACAATTATTATAGGGGCATCTAGGTGGTGCAGTGGATAGAGCACTGGCCCTAGGGTCAGGAGGACCTGAGTTCAAATCCGACCTCAGACACTTGTCACTTACTAGCTGTGTGACCCTGGACAAGTCACTTAGCCCCATTGCCTAGTCAAAAAAAAAGTTAAAAATACAATTATTATTACTTTGTGATAATAGCTTGCATTCATATGGCACTCTAAAGTTTGCAAAGTGCTTTATATTTTCAGGTTATCAATAAGCATTTGTTAAATGCTTACTATGTTCTAGGCACTTTGTTAAGTGCTGGGGAGATGCAGAAAGATAAACAAACAAATAAACAAACCTATGTCTGCTCTCAAGAAACTCAAAGTCTAATGGGAGAAGCAACGTACAAATAAGACATAGACAGGGCAAGTTGGGGGTAATCTCCAAGGGGATCACTACCATTAAGGGGGACCAAGAAAGGCTTCCTGAAGAAGGTGGAATGGGAGTTGATTCTCAAAGGAATTTAAGGGAACTTAGATGCAGAGATGAAGAGAAAGAATGTTCTAGGCATGGAGTTCATCCTACAAAAATGACTGAAGTCTGGAGATAGAGTGTCTTGTTCAAGGAACCACAAGGAAGATCATAGAGAAGGCAGAGAGGAGGGAGACGTAAGGAGACTAGAAAAGTAGGAGGGGACCAAATTATAAAGGGCTTTAAAATTTCAGTACAAGATTTTATAGTTGATCCTTGAGGTAATAGTGATGTATTGGAACATATTGAGTAGGAAGGGTGATATGTTCAGGAAGATAAATTTGACAGCTGAGTAGATGATGGACTGAAGTGGGGAGAGACTTGAGTCGGGGACAAAAACCAATCAACTATTGAAATAGTACCAGTATGAGGTAAGAGGGACTGCACCAGGGTGATGGCAGTGTCACAGAGGAAAAGGACATATTACAAAGACAGAATTCACAGGATCTTGCAAATTAGTTGGATATTGGAGTGAGAGTGAGAAGTAGAAGATGACACCTAGGTTGTAATAGGGAGGATGGTGGTGCTCTTAATAGTGATAGAGAAGTTAGGAAGAAGGGAGGATTTTTGGAAGGAAGGAGAAGAGAATGAGTTCAGTTTTGGGCATGTTGAATTTCAAACGTCTATGGGATATCCACTTCAAGATGTCCAATAGAGATGTGACAGTGGAGAGAGGTTAGGTCTAGACAGAGAGAATTGAGAATCATCTGCATAGAGATGATAATTGAATCCATTGAAGATGATGAGATCACCAAGTGAAATAATAGAGAGAGAGAAGAGAAGAAGATCCAGGGAGAGCCTTGGAGGACTTTTAGGGTTAGTGGGCATGATTTGGATGAAGGCACAACAAAAGAGATTGAGGAGTGGTCAGACAAGTAAGAGATGAACAGGAGGGAACAATGTTGGAAAAAACTAAAGAGAAGATAATATCAAAGAGATGAGGGGGATTGACAGTATTAGTACAGAGAGGTCAAGAAGCATGAGGATTGAGGATTGAGGATGTTTGATTTGGCAATTAAGAGATCACTGGAACACCGGACAGGGGTCATGTAGCCAGCAAGATGGAGAACTAGACTCTTTCTCTGATCCTCATGACCTCTCCAACCTCTCCAAAATAAGAATCATGTGCTTGAGATAAAGGAATTTCATCTGTCTCCATGATCTAAGACACCAAGAGCCTAATGATCTAGCAGCAGAGAAGGCTAATCCCAAAAGCACTTACTCAGTACCATCTTTCCTCTAACAGACACAATGCTTTGGCAGGGCTGTACAAACCAACCCACACCATTGCAACAGAACCTACTGTATCCTTCAACTGTTCTTCCTTATGTAGTAGAAAACCAAAAAGCAGTTTAATTTGCTGTGGGTGGGACTGAAGTGTGGTAACATTACATGGCCAGAAAACTAAGGATCAGAGGAAACTGGGGCAAGATTTTAGTGTGTTTGTGTATCCACTAGGCACTGACTCAAAGGGAACTGATATCCATCTGGGTTCTATCCTCATAGAATTCAGTTGAGGCAGAAGTTGAGCTTGGTGAAAAGTCAATTCCCAAGTGTGGGAAAAGACTGAGAAAGCTTTAAGATATAGTCCCCAAAGATACTACCATCAAAGGGGAAGAGAAGTCAGAAAATGAGTAATAAGGAAATAAAAAGGGGAAAGAATGTAATAACCAAAGAATTCAGAAGGAAGAAAACTCAGTTAAAGAGCTAGAGCTGAAACAGATAAACCTAAAGAGAAGACATAATTAATAGAAGGACAGATGTTTTCCAGATCATCTAAACAAATTCAAACATACAGGAATAAATATTGCAAGATAAAGAAAAATGTATCCACACTTCATGAGAAAGAGGATCCTGTAGTTTCTTAAAACAGAATGGAGCTTTAGTAGAATGCTCTTGAATGGTTTAAGACAGAAAAAAGAATTATGAAAGTAGAATATATGTCTGCAGGGAAGAAATAATCCACAGAATGGAAACATTTGAATCCACAGTGGAAAACTTAACCAAGGAAACCAAAGAGAATAATGGGTTAGGAATATACATAAGCAGAAGTGAAAGACAATCTGAGAGAAGAAAAGCAAAAAGTAATAATTTTTTTTTGGTTGTTGTTTTTGGTGAGGCAATTGGGGTTAAGTGACTTGCCCAGAGTCACACAGCTAGTGAGTGTTATGTGTCAACCTAGCTGCCCCCCAAAAGTAATAATGTTAAAAGAAAACATGATCTCTAAACAAGCAAACTATATTGAGCAATTCATTCAACAAATCATTATTATAATCAAATTGGACTTATGCTAGGGATGTGAATATGACTCAACATTTGTAAAGCAATCAACATAGTTAATCATATGAAAAACAAAAATATTCCAAACTACATAATTATCTCAACACATGTGGAAAAATCTCTTGACAGAATATAACACTTGTTTATGGTAAAAACAAACAAACAAACAAACAAAAGCTCTACAAAGTATTAGCATAAAGGCACTCTTTTATAGATTTGTCAAAAACCAAAAGCGTGTGTCATATGCAATGGGAATATACTAAAAGTCTTCCCAATAAATCCTGGAGTAAACTAAAGATGTCCACTCTACTCCATTACTTTATATAGCTCTGGAAATGCTAAAAATAGCAATTAAATTAGAGAAAAAAATCAAGGGCTTATTTGTTGACAACATGATGTTTTACTGAGAAAATCCTAGGGAACTTTTAAAGATAGTAATCAAACAATAGTTTCAGCAAAGTTTCAGGCTACAGAACCAAACCTCAAAAATAACAGATTTTCTACATAATAATAACAAAATCCGAGAGGCAAAAATGGAAGAACAACTTTTAAATAGCAGGAAGAATATTAAGAGGTTATGGTTGACATGATGACAATTTTTAAAAATGACAATACTATGAAAGTGATTTATAGTTTTAATGCTATGCCAATCAAAGTATCAAAGGGATACTTTATAGAACTCAATAAAATATAATAAAAAATTATTTGAAGGGTAAAAGATCTAGAATATAAAGGAAAATAATAAAAAGAAACAGGAATGAAGGGAGAACAGCCTTTCCAGAACTCAAACTATATCTAAAACAGCAATTATCAAAACTAACTGGTGTTGGATTAGAAACAAGAGCAGTAGATCTATGGAATAGACTAGATAAGGAGAGTCAGAAAGAATGGAATTCCACAATCTAGTGGTAAATAAATTAGAATACATAAATTACTTAGAAAAAACTCCCTAGTTGATAAAAAAAAATTCTAGCCTTAGATCAACACCTTACACCATATTCTATAATATTCTAAATAGATATGTGGCATCATTATTAAGCATCAGAGCATTAAAAAAACCTAGGAGAAACAGACTATTTCTTTCATTGCTATGGATACGAGATATATTCTTAACCTAAGAAGATAGAGGTAACTACAAAAGGTAAAATAAATAACTTTGATTATATGAAACTGAAAAAGTTTCTGCACAAGCAAAATCAATGCACTTAGTTGATAAGACGGTTGAATGGAAAAACTCTTAGAATCAAATATCTCTGATAAAAGTTTGCTATCCAGTATAATAAACAATCTAAATGTGTGTACATACATATATTTATATGCATATAACCAAAGCCATTCCCCAGTAGATAAATGACTGAGGGGTATGAATAAACACTTTCCAAAGAAGAATTGCCAATAATTTACAACTAAGTATAAGA